TTACTTTAAGTAAATTTACTTAAAGTATTTTTTGAACTGTTCTATATCTATGAGGAGATTTTGAACAATGACCCTGTAATTCTATCTAAAGGTATATATACAAAGGAATTGTATCAAATGATATAAGAGAGAATGCTCTAGTAGAATTATTCATAACTGTTCATAGAAAAGCTGGCCAAATATATATTAAGGATAGATCAATCATTACAGTAAATCCACACAACAGAACAACATAGAGAAGTGAAAAAAGAATCATATGTACGTACGACTCTGGGACTAAATTTCAGAAACACAATGTTGAGACCAAGAAACCACAATCAAGAAGAGCATGAAGGATTGTACCTACACACAGTTGAAAGCAGGCCAGACCAAGCTGTGCAGTTTAGGGTTGCATACCTAATTGGTAAAGTATAAGGAAAATCAAGGAAATGGTCATCATAAATTATGGATATTGCTTATCTCCAGAGATGTGAACAAGGGGTTATGGGTCTGGAAAGTGGCATGGAGGTGGACTTAGGCTGTTTTTGGTGTTCCTTTTCTTGCCTGGCATCATGGTTACTTGAGTGCTTATGATACATTGCGGTATTTCCCATTTTTGTTTTGGCTCATTTCTAAGTGTGCGTTATTATTTTAACATAAAAATTTTAAATTAGGAGAAATATCTCATATAAATTTATTATTACTCATTATATACTGCAGGAAAAATAAACTATTTGTATACATTCTTATGCAACTCTAAGAGAGTTGAAGTAAGAACTTTCTTATTTAGTTGCAACATGAGGAAATTTCAGATGATGTTATCTGTCACCTCCAGATTTTTTCAAAGGATTTTTTCTAGCCTTAATTATCCACCTCATAGGAATAAACCTTTGCCATTCCCCATCGATTTTTTCCTTTTGGCTCCTGAATTCCTGACACAGCAAGGTTGTACATATTTTACACACTCTTAGTTTAGCAGAGTTCTTTTCTCAGTTATGTTTTTCTGCAAGAGAAACCCTCCAAAACTACATCATATATTTATATATTATATCTTTAGGTTTCATTTTTCTAAGCCGGGTTTGGTGGATGTCTCTGGGGATTTGTGGTGGGCCAAATTCTGCATCTTGGAGGTCGTTAAAGTTTGACCAATTTAGTCTGGATCAGGTGGGGACAATCTGCCTTCATTAGTTTCTCATTCTCCTTCTGGGAACAGTGTACTAGCTAGGAGATATTCTCATCCTAAATAGAAAGCGGAAGAACCCCAGTATGGAAGCCATCTCAAATCTCTATGCAAAATATATTAATTTTCTGTTCATCAAAGCAAGCTAAATTATTGAACTTCAAGTTCAGGGAAAAAGTAGTCAGTCGTCCTGTGATGGGAGGTTACTGCAAGATTATATGTCAAAGGGCCTGGTACCCACGAATACTTATAAAATTGCTGAATATTTTAATTAAATAATAAATATTTAAACTTTAGACTTGAAATAAACTTTACCAAAGACCTAATAATTAGAGATGTGTTTGATAAATAAATATTGTTCATGGGCTGAAAATCCTGAGTGGGAAAATAGGACTAATTTCAGCTGGACAATCCCCTGGAAACTCATTTTATAGTTTGGAAATTACAAGAAAATAATTCATTCCATTCATAAGTGGTGTGCACATGTGTGTGTTTGTGCATTTATTTATGAGCTTGTGAATAATGAAGTCACACAAAAGTATTAGCAGCAACCAGATCTTATGGAGTACTGGCCTGCCTGTGGTTCTCAAGTAAATCTTAGATTCTTTTGATAAAAGAAGGTTGAATTCTGTGTATTTATATCTGGCGTTTAAAAAAGACTGTATAGGTCATGATCTTAGTTATGACCAAGCTCCCTTTAAGAATTTAGATATTTAATATATGATCTCTGTATTGGGTTATAAAACTTCCCTAGCCACCAAAGTTGCTAAAGACAGATAATGGAGAGGTTACAGAAGGAAAAATTGCAAACACTGAAAGTTAATATGTCCTTGTTTGCATACTAGCAAATAAGAATTCAGGTTTCATGTCAACTTCAGTATGAATAATTCCAGCCTATAACAAGAACAGACATGAGTGAATGAGTTAATTTGAGTTGTTTTGAAAAGAAGAATGTTTTCCATAAAGAGAGCATTGAACTCATCCGTTAGCATGCTATGGTGATTTCTGGCTTTACAGTGGTCACGACAATTAAAAGTAAAAAGAATGGCACAGCAGATACACAAATGAGGTACATATAGAATTTAAAGTCAGGATATTCAAGCCATCAGAACCTGTGATGTTACACGAGCATTTAAAAAATTTCTTTCTGTCTGTTCAGACATGATAACTTTTCTGTCTATCACTTTTTCCATTCTAATAATGGTTATATTTTTTATTGGAAATTTTGCTAATGGCTTCATAGCATTGGTAAATTCCATTGAGTGGGTCAAGAGACAAAAGATCTCGTTTGCTGACCAAATTCTCACTGCTCTGGCTGTGTTCAGAGTTGGTTTTCTCTGGGTATTATTACTACATTGGTGTGCAACTGAGTTTAATCTAGCTTTTTATAGTGTAGAAGTAAGAAGTACTGCTTATAACGTCTGGGTAGTGACCAACCATTTCAGCAGCTGGCTTTCTACTAGCCTCAGCATATTTTATTTTCTCAAGATTGCCACTTTCTCCAACCTGATTTTTCTTCACTTAAAGAGGAGAGTTAAGAATGTCATTCTGGTGATGCTGTTGGGGTCTTTGCTATTTTTGGCTTGTTATCTTTTTGTGATAAACATGAATCAGATTGTACAGACAAAAGAATATGAAGGAAACATGACATGGAAGATCAAATTGAAGAGTGCAATGTACTTTTCAAATATGACTGTAACCATGCTAGCAAACTTTGTACCCATCACTCTGACCCTGATATCTTTTCTGCTGTTAATCTGTTCTTTTTGTAAACATCTGAAGAAGATGCAGGTCCATGGCAAAGGATCTCAAGATCCCAGCACCAAGGTCCACATAAAAGCTTTGCAAACTGTGACCTCCTTTCTCCTGGTATGTGCCATTTACTTTCTGTCCATAATCCTATCAGTTTGGAATTTTGAGAGACTGGAAAACAAACCTATCTTCATGTTCTGCCAAGCTACTGTATTCAGCTATCCTTCCACCCACCCATTCATCCTGATTTGGGGAAAGAAGAAGCTCAAGCAGATTTTTCTTTCAGTTTTGTGGAATGTGAGGTACTGGGTGAAAGGACAGAAGCCTTTATCTCTGTAGATTCACGAGAGGGGCCTTGTGTGTCTTCTAGCAGAAAGCAAACTGGTGGTGTATGAAATATTTTCTATTTCTTACTGTGTTTTCTGTAATGTATGTATATGAATAATTTCCAAATGTACACCTAGAAAAGTCTTTTACTTAATGTTAGTCTAGAAAAGCATGTGTGTGTGTGTGTGTGTGTGTGTGTATTTATGTGTGTATGAAAAACTGAAGAACATTGACAATAACATGCTTTGTATTGTTTTTTCAAAGAATTGCCAAATTATAGAAAGTATGACAAAAAATCCTCAGAATTCTGAAGCCATGTTTATTTTATGCATGTAGTTTTTATTTCATTTGAAGAATTTATGTCTTTTCATAATTTTTAAGAACTAACAGCTTATCTTGGGGAAAATATTGCTCTTTTGATTGTTATTTGAATCACACAAATATACCACAGTGTGCTTAGAATTCGTTGTTTTAACCTATAACTTTTTGGATAATAATGTCATTCAATTCTATCTCAATAATGAGGATGTATCTTTGGGGTTATTCCGTTAGAATTCCTATTTTATGTGTAGTAAAAAGCAAACAGAATTGTTGTTAGAAAACAATGCACACAATAAAATTTGAGTGACAAGCATATTTGAGTAAATTTCATCTATGTCTACCATAAACAGTACTGAGGTATATTAGATTTAATACAAGTATGTGAATAGCTTAGAAAAAAAAGTCTTCTATAAGAGGGATGAAAAATCATGATCATGATCTTGAATGCTATTATCAGCTTTCATATGCAGTTAAAAAAGTCATTTCTTCCAACTTTTGATCTAAAGAAAAGTTGTTTTTGAAATTGAGCTCTGATGTAAATTATTTTAGTATTTTTTCTAAGGCACATCTAAGTCCCTGAATTGCTAATAATATCCTTCTCTTCCATTTATCAAATTCCTTCTAAACTTCAGATAAGAGAACCCCAACCTTCTCTTTTCTAAAAAAAACTATCAATGTGAAAATAGTATAGAAATTATGGAAAACAATTCAGTGAAACTTTTTGTAAGTGTTAAAATAGCATCTATGAAATCTATGTATTAATTATAGGTTGTGCCGTAACATTGTAAGCTTGTTGTCAGTGATGAAATGGAAGTGTGTTGACATATTCACGTTCATAAAGCATTATTAATAAGTTTATATGAAATAACAATCATAGAATGAAAAAAGATTAGTATAATTTATTGAAGTAAAAATATATTTTGAATAAGAGTAGAAAAGGGCTTGGAAAATATTGTTTAATAACATTTTATGTAAATACAAAAATGTTTATATTAGCCTGACATTACTTATTTTGGAAAGTATATGACACAATGGGAATTTTCTTACACTCCTCCTGGGAGTGCCATAAATGTGTGCCATCATTTCAGCTGAGTATGGTATTATCTGATTACGATGAAGGATTACATCCTAAGATCCAGTATGGACACTCTTATCAGAATGCATATACATACACATGCATATCACTGAGTTCCAGTAGCTCAAGTTGAGAAATCCTCCAAATGTCTACCAGTCCTCTCAATGGATAAACAAACTGTGGCATACTTATACAATGGAATGCTCTACAGCAATCAAAATTAACAAACAAGACTGACATGTTTACAACAGAATAATACAACAAAGAAAATGAACAAATTTGAGCTACATAGATATTAATACTCACAGATATGAGAGGAATGATCAAGATGGAAAATACATTTAGTATAATCTCATTTACATAATACTGAAAAACATTGTTTTTAATACATTGTAATTTTTTACCTTGGTAATAAATCTCTACAGTGAAACATATGAGTGATCATTTAAACAATTGGGATAGTCAGGAGGGAGGAAAATATCAACAAGAACACTTTCATCGGGAGTATCTGGATTGCTGGAAATTCTATTTTTTTTTCACCCTTTTATTTGGATCTTATCTGTGTGAAGTATCTTTGACTGTGTTGGTCATCGTTGAATCAAATATCTAAAGAAACTGAATCTGGAACATCCTAGTCCTCACATCAAAAGCACTGAATAAAGTTGGAATGGGGAGTGGTGGTGGTGGTGGTGGTAGAGCAACAGGGTAGCCTAGTTAGGTTGCACAAGCCCATCAAAACACACGTGATTGTATGATTAGAACCAGGAAACTGGTTACTAGAAAAAGTAATTTAGTGCACTGTAGAGAGAAAATATTACATATTCAAGCACCTCACAACAGCTTACCACCAATTTTGTTTGAGGAATTTCTTTAGGTGTTAAAATACAATAAACAACCACAGTTGCCCACTTTTTGATGTGGTTGTTTGATTTTTTCTTGCAAATTTGTTTAAGTTCTTTGTAGATTCTGGATATCAGCCCTTTGTCAGATGGGTAGATTGCAAAAATTTCTCCCATTCTGTAGGTTGCCTGTTCACTCTGATAGTAGTTTCTTTTGCTGTGCAGAAGCTCATTAGTTTAATTAGATCCCATTTGTCCATTTTGGCTTTTGTTGCCATTGCTTTTGGTGTTTTAGTCATGAAGTCCTTGCACATGCCTATGTCCTGAATGGTATTTCCTAGGTTTACCTCTAGGGTTTCTATGGTTTTAGGTCTAACATTTAAGTCTTTAATCCCTTTCAATTAATTTTTGTATAAGGTGTAAGCTTTCTACATATGGCTAGCCAGTTTTCCCAGCACCATTTATTAAATAGGGAATCCTTTCCCCATTTCTAGTTTTTGCCAGGTTTGTCAAAGATCAGATGGTTGTAGATGTGTTTTATTATTTCTGAGGGCTCTGTTCTGTTCCACTGGTATATCTCTGTTTTGGTACAAGTACCATGCTGTGTTGGTTACTATAGCCTTGTAGTATAGCTTGAAGTAAGGTAGCATGACACCTCCAGCTTTGTTCTTTTTGCGTAGGTTTGTCTTTGCAATGCGGGCTCTTTTTTGGTTCCATCTGAACTTTAAAGTAGTTTTTGCCAATTCTGTGAAGAAAATCATTGGTAGCTTGATGGGGATGGCATTGAATCTATGAATTA